AAAACATCTATCTATTGTACCAATTCCTAAGGTAGAGAAACCAAGAAAGCAAGTGATTTAGACCAATTTAATAATTACCAATTTATGAGAAAGTCTTAGAATTAGTCGATAAAGGAAAACAAATAGATGAATATTTACATATAATGATATCTATCAGAGCATCAATCAGGATTTAGAAAATACCATTCGTGCGAAACAGCGATACAAAGCGTCATTGATGATTGGAAGTTAACAATTAGTGAAGGGGGAATAGTAGGAGTAATATTCCTAGACTTAAAACGGGCATTTGAAACGGTGGATAGGACAAGATTGTTAAAAAAATTAGAGCATGGAATGAAAGGAATAGTGCTAGAATGGTTTAGAACATATCTAAACAACAGAACGCAACAAGTCAAATTTAACAATCAGTGGTCAGAACGTCTTAGAACGGAATACGGAGTGCCACAAGGTTCGGTACTAGGACCTCTACTATTTATAATATATATAAATGATATAATCGAAGTATGTCCGGAGGGATGCAATATAAAATGTTTGCAGACGATACGCTTATATATGTAAGTGGAGAAAGTAGCGCAGATATAGAGATAAAAATGAATATGGTTTATTTTAATATAATTGAACGCTGGATGAATATAAAAAATTAAAAATGAATGCGGATAAAACGAATATATGGTAGTTAGAAGTATTCGAAAAGAATTGAGAGGCAATACTATTTTGAAATGTTTGGATGGAACTAAAATAGAACGTGTGGAAACTATAAATATTTAGGTATAATTATTGATGGCAGACTACGATTTCAAGATCATTGCGATTATATGCTTAAGAAAATAGGGAAAAAGACTAGTTTTTTAAACAGAATAGGTAACTTCGTGTCAGCCTACACTAGATGTATTGTATATAAATCCATAATAGCGCCTCATTTCGAGTATTGTGCCACTCTATCAGTCGGGATGGGAGAAGCGCAGTTGAATAAACTGCAGGTAGCTCAAAACCGTGCCATGAGAGTCATATTGCATGTAATAGATATACCAAAGTTGAGGACATGCTGCAGGCGCTGCAGTTTATGTCCGTAAGGAAACGATTATATTATAATGTAGGTGTATTTATTTTAAAATACTAAATAACATGGCATCGGTGGCGTTAAGTAATAAAATAGAAATAGTGGGAAAAGAATGTGATAGACAAACGAGGCAGGCCGGAAACATAGTACTAACATTGCGTAAAACGAGAAGTGCGCAAAAAAGCCTGTTTTACGAAGGAATAAAAATGTATAATGCGTTACCCACCGAGATAAAACAATGTGAAGAATTAATATTATATAAGAGACTGTTAAAAGAATATGTGTTAAATAATGTATAGTAATTATGTATATGTAATAGCTGTGAAAGCTAATAAAGATCAATCAATCAATCAATCAATCTCTCTCTCTCTCTCTCTCTCTCTCTCTCTCTCTCTCTCTCTCTCTCCCTCCCCCCTTTTCTCTCTCTCCCTTCTTCTTCCCTCTCTCCCCCTTTCTCTCTCTCCCCCCCTTCTTTCTCTCTTTGTCTCTCACTCCCTTGGCGTTTCTACTTCTTCTTCAACTTTGAGTAAAGCAGAACAAAAGGGACGGAGTAACTCAGCTATTCCAGCGATTGCTCCAACAAATATTAGTTACAATTAAGTCATATCAGGAGTTTACAAATTATTGTCAAATTAAAACATTATAAATCTTTATGCTACCAGTCAGAAATAAAAAAGACTAGAGACAGCATTGAACATATTACGGTAACGATCGTCAACAGAATGGTAAAAATTTTGTCAGTAAGGATATTTTATACGATCTTAATTATTTTGTTATAGATGTCATTTAAACGCTCTGTATTTTTTTGTGAGTTTTTTGTGTGTATAATCGTTCTATTCCCACATTTTTTATTCGAATACATATCCGAAAGATTGCAAAAATAGCTGATAATATGCAAGAACCCCCTTTTTCTCAAATTCCCTTTTCCCTGTACAATAATATACTTACACAATTTCACGCATTGTGTGTGTTATACAAATTACAAGTCATAATCACAAGCTATTTCTTCATGCATCTTTGTTTTGGACGATCGATCCATGAAATTGTTTTGCGTTTCCCTCAGCACACAAACCTATTCTCCAAGATATAAATAGCATTAAAAACCTCGAAGTGTAACGTAAATAAATGAACACAAAAATATGACTTACCATTTTTTTGAATTCTGAACAGGAAGGGAAAGAAAAAGAGAGAAGCAGTACATCAATGCAACATAAAGAGAAAATATTACATGCATAAAGACAAGTGGACTTATATATACTTTTTACTTGCCGGTCTTTCCTTTCGTGTCCACATTTTTGTAATTTCTTATTATTTTTCTCTCCAAAGACCTATTATATATCTCTTTTTAATCAGTATTATGTATATAAATAAATTTCAGAGGCGATTCTTAGTAAATGCATTGGATAATTTAACTTACGAAAATTTTGTTTCTTTTGACACAATCAAAAATAAAAAAATAAATAAATAAATATAGCAAATGGATATGAAAAAATAAGATAGTTGATACAGATTAACAGCATAATTTATAGTTTTCAAAAATCAAATCCATCGACTTTAACATTACATATGAGATTATCATTGTTGAACTGTGAATTTTAAATATGCATAAACACATGATTTATGGACTCATCGTCAGTCTGATTTTCATTTTTAGGAAGACAATGAGACAAAATATAAAAAAAAATTTTATGTGTAATAACATTATATTAAAAATAATTATGTATAATTAACGACTATTTCTCTCAATATGATAACATTAATTCTGGAAAGAACGTAGTACCGTAAAATAAGACATCGATGTTTCAAAACCTTTAAAAAATATCAAACTTCTCGTCATATATTCTTTAACATAATTACAAAATAATTTTTCGTGCTTTGGCTCTGTTGGCCGATTTAGAAAACATCATATTTATATTCTTTATATTGAGAGCCGATAAAAATATTTATTTCTGCGTGATAATTACAAAATGTTATGTATATAACTAATTGTACAATATATACAAATGTACAATTTTACTTTACCGTTCCAAAATTTTCAATTGATAAGGGCATGATGTTGCCAGCAGTTACTTTGCAGGGCGACATAGTTCTGCTTAAAATTAGAAGAAAGATCTTTCTACATCTTCGAGAAGTATAGTACCATCTTCTTTTGCAACTATAATGCAAAATGAGATTCATATTATTTTAGATATAAAAACTAGCAATAAAACTTATATTTATAAGCGTTATGCTTCGCAATGAAGGACACAAGAGGATTTTCTGATAATTTAACAAAAATGAACTGAATCGTGACGTAAGTGTTCGCGCCTTACGAAAAAATATGAATTAAAAATAATTGACGATAAACGCATTCAAAGATATTCAAGAAATTTTAACATAGACTTATACGGAATATCGCTGTAATCCAATAGAAATTGAGCCTGCCAGAATTATAGATAGAGATGGAAGAATTGTGCAAAATAGAAAGACACAGGTGCTACAATACTGTCTCCATTGTCTAAATTCACCATCACCTGGAAGACAAATTTAAGTTTTTAGAAAAATCAAAGTTTTTTTGTCTTCGACTTTAATTAAGGTTAATTAATTTTAAAAGACACATATGCAATGTTATAATGAAATTATGTTCCAAATTGAAATACTGTCTTTTTCCTTTTTTAACAGCTGTTGATATGTTCTTTTTGTTGCTGCAAAGATAAAGGTCAAGTCATACCTGTATACCGGATACAGTGCTAGAAAGTATCATTGAATAAAGACAGACCAGAAACATATTTGCAAATAAGAACTCGATCTGTTCGACAAATCTGCAAAATCACGAATCTCAATGTGTTACAAGTAATTTACAAGTAATAATGAAAAATTCTCATTTGGAGCAAACATTATTTGTTTAATTAATAATTAAGATTAGGAAGATGGAAAGAGGGAAAGAGAGAGAAAAAGAAAAGAAGATTAAGCGATTAACATGTACTCTACTACATGAAGATGCCTACGTAGGCAGTCCAGTGCGGCGTCATAATTGTTATCATCGATTCTTTGTACCTCTAGACGAAAATTGGCGTCATTTTTTTGCCAATGTTCTCCAGCACGTGTCTAGAAGCGTGTTCAAGTGTTGGCGCAAGATACTCTTGTTTCAATTTTGCAATATCGAGTCGTCATTTGATTCTGAATATTCTTACCCAATAATTTCGAACATTCCGCAAGCATGTTGGATCAAAGCATAATAGAAGCTATCAACAGCGACAGCAATCAAGGAATGAGACAATACAGCTAGAGAACTGTGTAGCATTAAGAAATAAAAGTGCTGCTCCATTTTCGCGTTGTACTCAAGTTGATAGGACAATTTCGACAACGGTGGCATTGTTACGTTCTCTATATTTTTTCCATTATCGTCAGTATGGTAGGTTTAAGAATAAACTCAATGGCGTTAAAAAGAGGATTACTATAAATTTATATAAGCAACATATATTAAAGGAATGAGAATTGCCTATGATATAAATGACTAAAGTTAATACAATAAATTAAATACAAATTGTTACATTCTTTCAACTTTTTTTAAAAGAGTGGATATGTAATAAAAATAAGAATGGAAAGAGTTTTTGAGTTTCTTTCATATTTCGAAATTTCTATAATTAATAACATTTAATGAGCATCTGTATAAAAATGCATAAAGCATAAAAGCATTTTCCCAAAAATGTAATTTTTTCAGTTACATAATTTGTAATATCTTTATGAATTTTTCCCGATTCTACCAATACATACTCGCATAAACTTTCGTCAGATATTGTCCGTATTTAGTATGCCGTTGTAAAATAGTTTTTTCAGTCTCCGTGTTCAGCAAAAGCCAGTCCTCCTCCATTGTCTTAAAACAGGTTCTTACCTATATAATATACATTTCCTGCGTTTTTTTTCTTATGTAAAACCACATCAAGTGCAATACGACGTTAATTGCACGACTAAATTTGCATGCAATCTCAATCTACCTACTTTTTCACTGTATATCGTCATAAATACTACTTGATAACTAGTTAGTAGAATGATCATCAACGACGGCACACCTTCGAATATGTTGTTGATGTCGGTTGCATGTAATAGATATAGCGTCTATGTTTAAATAAATATCGCGGATTATATCGACAAAATTGGGATATGAAAAAAATGTGCAATTAATTTTCTCTATACATGATTTTTAATAACTTTTTATGTGTAACAAGAGCGCTTTGAACGCCATACGCCATATACTAAAGGTGCAATGAGAAGTATCTGGGGTACAACAATACTAAAAGAGAACGTAAATACTGCCACGAAGATCAGACACTTAATACCGATCGTATGATATGACCATATTCCAGCCAATATCATAAACACCTTGGAAAACGCGTAATAGCGACTTTGCCAACAGTCCTTTTGTGCCATCGTCGGAACTACTAGACGCACGAACAATGATTCTTTGTAAATTCACCGAAAAGTTCGGAAACATTAACAATTCTTTGTGCTACTTCTATGACTATAGTTCTTGTCATTATAATAATGAGAGTGCAATTATTTTTGTATAGCGTGTAACCCTGTATTCTCCCTCGTTTCCTTCCCCTCATTATCTAAAGCCTTTTTAAGAACAAATTAACACTTTTCCTGTAGCAATAATAGATACAACAGTGTTCAACAAACCAAATTTCTAAGTAACGACTATGAAAATTTTCTCCTTGGATAGTTGCGAAATAAGCGTTTTCTAATGGCAATTGCGAATTTGTAACGAAAGATATGACATCTACCTGTCATATATTCTCGGTAATTTTAAATTAATTCCAAATTGATGGCAAAAACTGTGTCGATATAAAATCATGTATAATAAATTTTAAAATTTTATTAATAAGCTGCATCGCACAGATGATAAATAATCGAAGTGTATAAAGATTGTGAACGAAGACATCTGTAAAAGCGACCGTTTTGTTTATTATTGAGAGAAAAATGATTTTGACATCTTTTCAAAGTGCAATATCAATTTGCTCTGTTATTATATAATATCTATAATATCAATTGTTCTGCAAATATATTAACAGACATAATTAGGGATTATAACAAATAATAAAAAATCTAAAAAATATTTAAATGTACATTTATTATACATTTTTTTTTGTCATCCAAAAAGCAGGATATGTGAAATTTTTATTTATTTTGCAATATGTTCATGAAATATATATGAACAAATTGCGATAAAAGAAGAATTAATAAAGGAGAGAAAGAATCAAGTGCAAGTTATATGCGCGTATCAGTACAGAGTAATATGAATTGATTTTCAGTTTTTCACGGTTCCTAGTAAACGCACCGAATAATTTTACTTTTGAAAATTTTATGCTTTTTTTGAAACAATCAGTAGAAAATAAATAAAAAATAATACAAATAGATATTAAAATATGAAATAGTTATAGAGATGTAAAACATGAGATGCATTACTAATAGATAATTTGGATAGTCTCCGAAATTTACATCCATCGAATTTAACATCAGAAAATACATAATATGAGGTGCGTCATTTGTTGAGCTGTGATTTTTAGAATATTTATAAAAACATGATTTATGAACTATGTCTGATCGGCAACCTAATTTTTATTTTTAGAAGGACGAGAAAAAGAAAAAGGAAAATTTTATGTATAATGTTATTTTATTAAAAAAGTTTATTAAGCATTGACTATTTTTGAAGATGATAAATCATCATCACTGGAAGGAACGTAACATCGTAAAATAAGACATCGATGTTTTCAAAACCTTTAAAAAATAACAAGTCTCTCGCATATATTCTTTAACATAATTGCAAAGTGTTATGTATATAAATAATTGTACAATTATAATACAAATGTACAATTTTACTTTACCGCTCCGTAATTTTCAATTGATAAGGTCATGAGATTGCCAGCAGTTATTTTGCAGGGTGTCATCGTTCTGTTCAAAATTAGAAGAAGGATCTTTCTACATCTTCGAGAAGTATAGTACCATCTTCCTTTGCAACTATAATGCAAAAAGATTCATATTATTTTGAATATAAATAGTAATAAAACTTATATTTTTTAAGCGTTATGCTTTGCAATGCAAAGAATACAAGAAAATTTTCTGATAATTTAACAAAAAATACTAAATTATGGCGTAACTGTTCGCGCATTACGAAAAAAATTGATTAGAAATGATTTACAATAAATAATTTAAATAAATTCAAAGAAATTCTAACATAGATTTATATGGAATTTCGCTGGAATCCAAAAGAAATTGGACCTGCCAAAATTGTAGAAAGAGATGGATGAATTTGCCCGATATAAACAGACAAAGGTGATGCAACAGCGATCGTATGTAAATTCATTAATATCTGGAAGACAAATTTAACTAATCAAATCGAATTTTATTTTGTCTCTAATTCAATTAGGATTAAATGATTTTAGAGGATGTACTCGTATATGCAATGTTACAATTAAGTTATACTCAAAATGCTTATGATATATTCCTGTTGTTGCTGCAAAGAAAAATATCATTGTTCATACCTGTATACCGGATATAGTGCTAGAAAGTATCACTGCATAAATAGTGAACAGAAACATATTTGCAAATAAGGACTCGAGTATTTGGCAAATCTGCAAAATCACAAATATCAATGTGTTACAAATAATTTACAAGTAATCATGGAAAATACTCATTTGGAGCAAACATTAGTTGTTTAGTTAATAATAAACCATTAGGAAGATAGAAAGAGGGAAAGAAAGAGAAAGAGAAAAGAAGATTAAGCATTTAACATTTAATTTTACTCTGCTAAATGAAGATGCCTACGTAGGCAGTCCAGTGCGATGTCATAATTGTCATCATCGATTTTTTTTACTCCAGACGAAAATTGGCGTCATTATTTTTGCCAATGTTCTCTAGCATGTGTCTAGAAGCGTGTTCAAGTGTTGGCACAAGATACTCTTGTTTCAATTTTTAATATCGAGCCATTATTTGATGTCGAATATCCTTACCCATAGTCGCGAACATTCCGCAATTTAATAATATTATCAAGTTTGTTGAGACATCTATATCTTACAATACACTCTGTATTTTTACCGAGGAAACAATCATTTCTGAGATCTTACTTATATATGGAATAACAAAGAATTTTTTATTAACTGAGTCCTTTTCTATAATTTCGGTTCTTTCTATGTTGGCCTGTCTCTTTATAATGCTTTTTTAGATATGATGTGTTCTATCCGCCGATTAATTTTGTTAAAGATCAGATCAAGAGGTAACCACTGCTTATGAGTATATTAATGATTAACTCCAAATTTTATTAAAATATTGTGGGTGTGATAACAACAGACTTCTATCTACAAGGTTGTATATTATTCCAATTTTATGGCATAATGGGTGGTTTGAATAAAATGATAAAGTCCTTCCTGAGAAGGTCTTTTTGATACCAGTCTATGTATATTGTGCTATTAATCATTTTAAGTGATGAATCTAAGAAATTCAAGCTACGATTAACCTCTTGTTCCACCGTGAATTTAAGTCTATCGTGATAGTTATTAAAATTATTAACTATCTGAGTCATATTAATCATAGAAGTGGCCAGTATTATGTCATCCACATAACGGAAATAAAACAAACATTTTAAATGTAACGCTTTAAGAACTGTATCCTCAAGATCTTGCATAACCAAGTCAGCTATAATTGGTGATAACGGAGACCCCATAGGGTCCCAAAAGTCTGTTTGTAAATTATGTCATTAAATGTAAAATATGTAGAGGTCAATATGAATTTTATACCACATAAAAATTCGCTTTTCGGTATTCTAGTATTTATTTCAATGTAATCCCATCTATCGTTAATACCGTTAATCGCAAGATTCAGAGGTACGTTTGTAAATAAATAAACCACATCTAAAGAAAACATCCTATCGTTCTCATCAATCTTTTATCAGACAACATGCTGTACAACTCAAAACTATTATTGATATGACTTTTCGCTTTGGGTAGGCTGGTTTATAAGATGTTTTGTAAAAACGAAGCCAGCGAGTATAAAGCTGTATCAACCGATGAAACTATGATTCTAACTGGATAGTTTTCCTTATGGATTTTAGGTAATCCGTACGCTTTTGGAAGGAGAGAATCACTACAACGTAATTTATAATATTCCTTTTTTGACATGTAATCTTCCTTAAGCCATTTCTTCAACAACTCATTCATTCATTTTCTATTATTTTTGCACGGATTTTTTTAAACAATAGTGTATGTGTTGACATCTTTTAATACGTTTTCCATTTTACTAGTATAATAAGATCTCTCCATTGCAACCGTAGCGTTACCCTTGTCCGCGCGTGTGAATAGAATATTCGGATTATCTTCGAAGCAAAATTGCGATTTTTAAGAACTTGTAAAAATAACGATATTTTTCCTACACATTTGGAAAGATTTTGCTACATAAAATTTAATGTTTTTCATCACAGATCGATCAAAAGACTAGAGAACATGTTGTACAAATTCAAAACAAATGCGATGAACATTGAAATCTTTGATTTGCATAGATAGGTAGAATCATTACATAATAGGATTTTTAATCTCACCAACAAATTATTTAATCTGTATGTGATTGTTAGTGCAAGCTCACGCTTATTTAAATTAATGATTGATTTAATTATGCTTCATTATTTCACTTTATTTTGTTCGTCAAGATTATAATATTTGCTGATAATCGATTCGGCGTGCAGATTACAACTGACTCATTTCTTCAGTGTCGGCTTATGCCCTATTACAATTTCTCGCATTTCCACCTTCTCGTTACTTCCGTACATATGCCCGTCACGTGTAAACGGTCCTAGTCAAACCTATACATCCCGCCCACCAATTAATGTTAATTAATTTCGTCAATTGTCATCAGAAATCGGTAACTTACACAATTGCCAATAGCTCTTATATGTTCCGTTTGCAGTTTTAATGTAACTACGCGTATGATGGGTTTCGACTACCTACCTAACTTCCATTTTAACGGCGCGGCATTGTTGTCTTGAATTAAAACAATATCGTTCACTACTATGTTCAACTTTTCATGTCTCCACTTGATTCTACTTTGTAAGGAAGTTAAATATTTCTTACTCCATCGACTTCAAAAATCTCGCGTGATCTTTTGCACTAGCTGCCAACGATCGAGACGGTTGATTGGCACGTCACTTGTGTCAATGTCTACAAGACTAGTCAACGGTTCTCCGATAAGAAAATGCCCTGGTGTGAGCGGCTGGAGATCTGCGGGTGTGAAGGCAATTGGCAAATAGGGCGCGAATTTAAGCATGCCTCGATTTGAATTAACGCTGTCGATAATTCTTCGAACGTTAATAACCTTTCACCGATGATGCGTTTCAAGTGAAATTTGCAAGACTTCACGCCTGCTTCCCAAATTCCCCCCAT